TATCCAATCAAAATGAGGGAATATAATGTTGTCCAATCAAATGTAAGACTCTTCTCAAAATATCCAAATATCCAATCAAAATGAGGGAACATAATCTTGTCCAATCAAATGTAAGACTCTTCTCAAAATATCCAAATATCCAATCAAAATTAGGGAATTATTATGTTGTCGTCCAATCAAATGTAAGACTCTTCTCAAAATATCCGAATATCCAATCAAAATTAGGGAATATAATGTTGTCGTCCAATCAAATTTAAATGTGCTCATCAAACTATCAGATAATCCAATCAAAATGAGGGAATATAATTCAATCAAATTTTATAAAGACACTTCTCAAACTATCCAATTAAAAACTAGTACTACTCATCCAATCAAAGTYAAGGAAGTCTAAAGGAAAGCTAAACATTTGAGCTTTTGATTATATGCAACTAAAATTGCTAATATTTGTTCAGCAATATTTTTTCAATATTCATACTTGAGGTAGACATCAGTGCATGTTTCCCCGCTGTTATCATMTTCACCAACATTGCGCAAGTCCTCAATAATCCAAACTGCCAGCTCACGAACATTTTGATTTTTTACCCACAATTTAAACTCCGGGAGGGGGATTTCCGGTGACACATTTGTGTAATCTGTAATGCCATAGGTTTTGTTTCCRGGGTGAAAAGTGTAGCCCACTGGTGGAGTTATAGTATTATTTGCTTCGTCCGTCACAACGGTTTCGATTTGATGTACCCTGCCTCCTGCTGTACCCCARTACCCTTTAGCCTCAGAAGCTACCGTCTTGATCCCACCAGACAGGTACTTTAGCTTTAAGCCGGTTATTTTACCGTCAAACGGGATCTTAACTCTTCCGAAGCTGTTGTCTTTGGCGCCAAAACAAACAGAGTGATTGTTCACTTTCAACCATCCGTCACCTGTAAAGAAAGCCATTGGAATGTTCGAGTGAAAGCCATTGGAATGTTCGAGTGAAAGCCATTGGAGTGTTCGAGTGAAAGCCATTGGAGTGTTCGAGTGAAAGCCATTTGAGTGTTCGAATGAAAGCCATTTGAGTTTTCGAGTGAAAGCTATTTGAGTGTTCGAGTGAAAGCTATTTGAGTGTTCGAATAAAAGCCATTTGAGTGTTCGAGTGAAAGCTATTTGAGTGTTCGAGTGAAAGCTATTTGAGTGTTCGAGTGAAAGCCATTTGAGTGTTCGAGCGAAAGCTATTTGAGTGTTCCGAGTTAAATCGTGGCATTCTTGCGTTTTTCTCGGTATTTCGCTGCCTTAAACGTTTAAAATTCAAAAGGTATCAAAAAACGTTTTTTAATAAACGGTGTGAAAAATGAGAGAGAGACAGAGCTCCTAATCATATTGGCTTGGWTCTTTGTCTTAAATGTTTGAAGCGTAAAAATTTGTTCTTTAAAATTAATGCTAAGAAAAAAGTCAAGACTTACTTGTGCAAAGTGTGATGTTCAAGGGGGGAGGGCACTGGCAGATTGTGTTGCTATGGCCGAGCAGGAAACATTGGGTAGACTTGTAACAATCTCTGCCTCTGCACTAAAACAATTAAAAAAAACTAAGTAAGAAAAGAGTGGTAAAAGAAAGAAAGAGATTTAACKAAGGACAAACGTCCAACTTCACAGAAGCCATACGCATTCAAAACAATTGATAATAAGGCGGTCTTCTTTCATGTCATTGGGTTCGGCTCATGTGAAGTTCGACGTTTTACATTAGTATAACTCACCTTGCGTATTCTAACAATACTGTTTTGAGATTCTAAGATCCTGTAGGATCCCGTCACCCCACGGTTCATCAGTCCACACAGCCTTGTCCCGTTATTATAGTTGAACTTATAACAGTTATCTTTCTCAGTAAAAAAAACACTTGTTTTCGCAGTCCTCTTGATCTCTAGCTGTGAACGATGCCACGAAACCTCCACCGGAGAGTGTAGCATCTATGTGTGTTTTGTAGAGGCGTTTAAAGGCGTAACTAGCCTTGCAATCAGCATCTAGAATATTGATAGAAACAAAAAAGCCGTTGCTTTTCAAGAGAAAATGCGGTACTACAATTCAAACATTCTTTTGTTTATAATAGTCTCTTCTTTTGTTCTCAGTAGCTTATAATGGTGTCATGACGACTCCCAAACGTAGCTCAAAGCTTTTTAATCATAATAAAAAATGATGATGATAGAAATGATGATATTTTATGATGAATTTATTTGTTTTTCTCGTATTTTGAATCATGAAGTTTGAAGCTGAATTTGCAATTTTTAAAGTTTAGTATGTTCTACAATTTCTTTGGACTGGTGCAGTTTGCATTTTATTTGAAAAGTCGTATCAACTATATACATCGAAGATAAGTTTTGGCTTCGTTCWCTCGGACTCTCGTCGAGATGTTGTTGAAAACTAGTGATTTAATAATTTATACTTTTATTCTTTTGTAAAGTTGAAAAGAGTCATTCAGGATTTCCTCAAAATATGTAAAAATGCTTTTCTTTGTGCGTAATATCTCTGCTAGAGGTCTTCTAGTTTACCAAACCACACAGATTGTTTATCAAGTGGCGCTAGGCATTAAAAAACCTACCACAATATATATTTTGAAGTATATTTAACTATTCTTTACTTAATTATTATCTCTTTCCCTCGCTTTTTGCTTTTTCCTCTTTTTCTTCCTAAACTTGTTCCTCAGTCAAAATTGTTCATTGATATATATTTTCTTCCTCGTGTACTGATTTTTTCTCTATTCCTTTCGCAGTTTGTTAGACTTTTTTTGTATTGATTACAATTCATACATTGATTAAACAAACTGAAAACGTTTAATGTAAAACCGTTTGACTCCTTTTGAACCGCTAAACAAAAATAACAAATCGTTCAACTTTCTTTATGTTACTCCCTTTCTTGAAGAATTAGGAATTCAAATAAACTTTTATTCTACAKGCCACCATTGAAGACTAATAGCTGTTATTACAGTTTAGCCCGAAATGAAATATTCTTTCGCTCTAAGAATCATACGAGTGAGGATTTGCATTTCATTTTCATGTATCCATATATCTGCTATTRGCAACATTTCTCTTTATTTTAGTAAAGAAAGATCTACTAGAGAGTGGACTGGAAGATTCAATATGACTCTTCGGTGTTATATTTTCCAAAAAGGGTATTTAAAATGAAAAATACATTGATTATTTTTCACAATCTTGGCTAGAATAACAGAATTTTATAAAGCTCGTTTTAAAAAAATACATCTTGAGCGAAAACATTTGTACAAAAAAACTTAAAAGATCTCGAGTGTTYGAGTAAGATTTCACTCCTCTAGTCTTAAATTCGCCTAGTGTTTCAGCACCTTGGAATATTTGATTTGGTAAATTAATGATAAAATGCACTCCAAATGCTTTGAAATTTTCAGTGTGAGTTCATAAGAATTAATAACAGCACTGTTATACGGTAAAATGTTTATCTATAACTCGTGTACGACAGAGAAGCGCCGGCAAAACATAATTTTAAGAAACCTGTTATACTTTCGACGRAATTTTTGTTTTTCTCAAGTTGAAACTCAGCATTTCTACTGTACAATAAAAAGCTAGAAAAGTGGTAAAATATGGTTTTTATCAGAGTAAATTTTGTATGAAGAAACTGTATATTTTTCATGAAACTTTCTCACAAAAAATAATCTTTATTGTCAGAAAAGTAATCTCTTTAGTCAAAACTTCACRTACAAATTTTAAAAAGTAGATACTTTTTATAATCATTATCAAAAATTTCTTATGAAAAAGCATTTCAAATYCTTTTTCGTAATACTAAACTTTTATGCCGCCTTAATTAAGACCAATTACTAAGTTTCACCAGAATTTTCGGTTTTGTAARAACATTTGTAATGAAAACCTTTAGTTAAAGAAAATGAAACGCTATTTTTTCAGTAACTTACCAGATTGAAATACCAGAGTTGACAAAAACAGTCCGACTGCAAAGGTAGAAAGTTCAGACATAACTTCGYTTTTAACCATTTTTCTTTTTCAGACTTCCTATGAATTTCCGTTAATGCTATAGAAGTTAGTAATGGCAGACCAAAACTGGAATGTCAAAATATCTTAAACAAATAGACCTAATATTACTTAAGACATTAGCTATGTCATTGGCTAGCTAAAAAGACTGTAAATAATTTATTATTGTTAATTTGGCTTTTAACTAAAGTGTTTGTCCACGAATCACCCTTATATCGTTTACGCGTGACGCGTTTTCTCTAAGTTAAACCAGAATACTAGAAGCTTGAAAAGTCTTAAAAAATGATGTCTAAAGATAAGCAAGATTTCAAGTACCCTTACTTAGTAAGGATTTGTCTGAAGAACGATAAACTCTGTAAACTAAATTGCAATGATTGTAATTTTTCAAACTATTTTTCTGACTTAAAAATTAGTTTCCAAACGAGAATTATTTTGATGCATGCAAGTAAGCAAATCGTGAGATAAACAAGAAATATAACTGTTATAAAGAAAGGATGAATAAACAGTAATAAAAACTCTAATAGTTCCCCTTCACAGTTGCCTGCGCCATCTTGAAAGGTAGCCGTGCCTTTRCATCGTAGCGAGACGAACGGTGAGCTTGCAATGATAGAGACCTTTTTTAACACCTTGGACAATTATTCACATGTCTCTATCATTGCAAGCTCACCGTTCGTCTCGCTACGACGCAAAGGCACGGCTACCTTTCAAGATGGCGCAGGCAACTGTGAAG